TGATGACCTTTGCACTAAGAAAGCCGTACACTTCATTTTTGAATGGTTTACAACCTTCAGTTGAATGGTCAGGTTCCCCAACATTTTAATCACATTGGATTCCCTCAACACACGTGATGAATGCTTTATCAAGCGAATTTGCATAAACTGCATCATAAAGTATCTTCTACTACAAAGAAGAAATGCCAACAATCTTCTATTACACAGAAGAAATAGTCAAAAACTGTAACAAAGGATCTTCTACTACACAGAAGAAAACAAACTTCAGCTCCTACTTCACAAAAGAGAAGTTTTAGCAACTGAACTCTGAGGAATCTCATTCTTCACAAAAGAATCTTCGTCTTCTACTATACATAAGTAATATTCATAAATTGTAACAAAGAATCTTCTACTACACAGAAGAAAATAAACTCTGAATGTAGAATTCGACCTTTAAGGTATTTTCCTTCTACACAGCAGCAGATGTACAAGATCTGGATATCTTATGCTTCTTCATCATAAATGCATCACCCCATCTTCTACTACATAGAAGAAGAATTCAGCTAAGGAGAAAAAGTCTGAAACAGTTTGCCAAACATGGACTGGACCTTGGAAAATAAGCCAGACAAGTGTCAGACTTCATACTCAACCCCTGCAGTCTTCAATATCATAACCAGGTGCCTTAGAATGGGAGACACATCTAACATTTGCATCAAAATCGGGAGAGAAATTTTTGGGAGGATGACCCAAAGCACGAAGCTTAATCAACTGAGCTTCCAACACACTAGGAAGTAACTAGATGCATGGTGTAAATATTGTATCAACATGCTTCTCAGATTTCTTTTGTCTTTGCTGATAACCTTTGCCCTATGGGTTCACTTGGAGACCAGAAACTAGTTGTTGACGAGAAAATATGGGAACACGAAGTTCTAGGTGAGACCCACAAAGTATCTCTCGATTTGAAAAATGTCCCATAGGCTGGGGATGAATGACAGCTTCTGTTGTAACAATGTATATAGATTCACTTTCCTTTATTGACAATGTCTTCAAAACTTCCATACCCGACTCAATGGAGTATCTAACTGGTTATCTTTTCCCTTTAAGGATTTCTGACCACAGGCCATTGCTTGCATGTCCCTAATAAATAGCCCTATCTGATTTTTCATCTCACCCAATTTCCCATGAAGTCATTCCATGTCTTTTTTGGATCACAGTGTGGTGAGAAGTCAAGATTTGTAGTTCTAAAAAGAACATCAGGCTTGAATAAGAATTCCCACTCTGAGTACCTGTTATGCATGCATGAAGATTCGTGAGGTGAATGAGTGGATGCAATGCCACGTTCAATCATTTTCAAGGAACCCGCATGCTTTTAGTCTCGATTTCGATCCAGTAAGAGATGGAAAAACACAACATAATATTCACAAGCACGATCCTTGCAAATAGAAAGAACATGTGTGTTAAAAAAAAAATTTCATGCATACATTTTTTACACATTTCTTTTGTAAAAATTAAATATGCTATGATGCAAGTGCGATACTCACGGAATCAAAGTTCAGCATTACAAGTGTACAATCCTTTGGATAACTGTTGTATAAATCTGCTGAATAATCCAAATATCACAGGATCAAAGGTTTGACACCAATTTCAGAACAGGAAGGAACCAAGTACCATGAATAACCGTTGTATAATCTCTGAACAAGTTGAATATATTAGGATTAAAGGTCTTGAACATAACCAAAGAACCATAGTCACCAACAGAACAATACGGTTACCATTAGAACATAGTCACCATCTGTACCTGTAAATATATATTCCCGCCCCACTCATGGGTGAAACTAGGTTAGAGTAAGCAAAGGTAACTCAAAATCACGGGTTCGCTTGAGAGTACTATCATCGTACACCTACGTAATAATGATAGCACCTCATTAAAACCTCATATGAGTGTGGAAGACACGGTCGTCTAGGGTAATCTACATCCCCTATCCATTGTGTTCCACTATATTCCTAGTGTTCCTATTGTTTGTCACTTGACTGGGTATTATACCTTTTACCTCGTAGTAACACCCACCCAACAAAGAAACAAAGAAACCAACACAACAACAGTATATGGAAAATAATAAAGATGCAACGCAAACATGTGCTCAGATAAACATGTACAAATGAATAACCGTAAAGCAAAAAAAATAGACACCCAAAGAAAATAAAATAAGAGCTAGGAGCGACTCCGAGATGGACTAGCAATTGGTCGATTCATCCCCAGTGAAGTCGCCAGCTGAAGCAACTGGTTGAACAAATCATCAAGATGAAATCAATGAAGTCGCCATCGAACGTTTTTTATCCCATGATAAGGGAAAGGTAAACATAAAGTAAACTTGAGAAGGGTGAAACCAAGGTCGAACAACCAAGAGATATGGGTAAGGGAGTCTGTTACGCGATGACAAGGTATTAGCACCCCACACGTCTGTAGTACTCTACGGTGTCCACTCTTGTTATTCTAATCAAAGAGTGTGTTTCAAATTAAAGCTTAAGAGATAAAAGAAAATGCAAAGAGTGAATGCATGCAAAAGAAAATAGAAAACAATGTAGGGAAGATAAAATTGTGCTCGCTTGGGCCCTACCCCAATGCCTACGTATCCTTTTTGAGGAATAAGAGTTACCGTAGTTCGGCTCATATGTTTCAGTTTGTTTTGTGTTTTTTAATGAACAATATTAATTTCTCCTTCTGTCACAACTCGACCTTTGGAGACTCACGCGTCAGCATAAAAGTGAATTAACATGTTCTATCTAACAAGGTATTTTTCAAAGAAAAATGCCTGGAGGCGGATAATGCTACATTCGTGCTCTAGCAATTTAGACATAGTGCCCCCTTACCTTTGGGGATTTACGCGTCATATTGTGTAGAGTAGAATTAACACATCCTTTTGAAAGTTCCGAAAAAAGGCCCGAAGGTGGAAAAAGTTTGCATTGGTTGATGTTTTTTACCTTGAAAAAGGATTTGAGAGTTGTTAGATGTTTTATGCATTTTCCAAGAAAAGAGTTTTAGTCATAATGCAAGGATGCAAAAGAAAGAAAAACATCTAAGGGAAACTAGATAGAATCTAATCCCTGATGTTATCATACAATTATTAATCTTAAGATTTAGTTTTGAAAGGGAAATCTCTACCCTATATTAGCATGCATGAATTACAATCGTAATTTCTATCTCGAATTGCCGCCAAAGGTTGAATCAAGAACTCCTAAGGGAACATGTCAAATGTTCACAACCTAAACCTATGTCTATATCGAATCACCACCAAAGGGTTAATTAAGAGATCCTAAGGGAACATTCCAAAGGTTCACAACCTAAGAAAACATGCACACAAGGATGGAAAGTAAGTAATCCACAAGCTCAAGAGAGCACACACATGCCACGAGTAGTGTACACTAACTTAAGTAATGGCCTAAACAAGATATAATTGATTGAGGTAGGTACAAAATACAGTAGGGATGCTTTAGCCAAGGAGTCATATCAACCAAGGCAAACAAGAGGGGTAAGATATGGGAAGCTTTAGCCAATGGGTCATATCAACCAAAGCAAACAATCCGAAAAGGAATAAAAAAACAAAGAAAAATGTGATGTTCAAAGCGACTAAACACTTAACCACAATATAGAAAATCGAGGTAGGAGACAGGAGACAATATGAACAATCACGAAGTGTCAGCATCGGCCAATGTGAACTTCTGATAAAGGGTTAGGGTTCGATTGTGAACTACTTTTCCACTTGATGACTCGATAACAAGAGTAGGCACAACTTCGAAGCATCATGGTGCATCACGATTTAAGGATGACATGGACGAAATGCGTGGGGCTTGAGTGTTAACCCTTTCAGTTTGCCTCATTTTGAGGACTCCAATAAGGGATGGGGAATAGATGCGAGCACAAATGTAAAAACACGTGCGGAATACCTACTTCAAAGGTAGGATTTTAAACAAACTCATATAACATACAGAAAGCGGCGTCTTCTATAGGACTTTAAACAATAACTTTGAGCGCACGCTCTTTATTTCCTGCTTCTCATGATATCTAGAAAGTAGTAAAGTGCGGAAAGATAAACCAATGTCAGAATGATACCAAACGAACAAAAGTTCGTAGCACAACAAGAAAATCAGAGAAACCCAAAAAACTTCGAGTAAGCTTCACCAAGCAACAAAAATGATTCAGAAATCAAATGCTCAGAATAAGAGTCTAAGCATCATCGTTGTGAAAATAAACCACAATCAGAAACTCAAGCACATCCACACGCCATAGAATAAACCTGCATAAGACTCAAATCTCAACAAGCAAAGGTGAATTACAAGTCTCGAGTAATCGAATAATCGTGAATTAATCCCTAAATTTAAATGAAAAAAAACTATACCAAATTTATATTTGATTTTGTAATTTTCTTATCCTGTTGGAAAAAGTTCAAAAACAAATCTAAACAATTTACAAAATTATTTAAAAGAAATTACTAATAGAATAACCTCAGGGGGGGTGCAAGCCAATAATCCAGTGTGTGTATAACTGGATTCAGGTGTGTGGTTCAGCCACAATGGTTCACAATCCAGCAAAGAAGAACCACAAGCCCTGTTTTTGTTACATTTGATTTCCAAAAATAAGGTACAACTCGGCCCAGTCCCTACATCACCAATAATCAGCAGCTTTTATTCTCCAAAAAAAGACTAAAACGGGCCAAGAGGGAGTATGGTATGGTCCAACTCCTGTATCACCAACAATAATCCATTAATTTTAGTATTAGTATATATTACATTATATTTATCATTATTAAAACAAAACTATGAAAAATAAAAATGAAAAAGATGCGAAAGGACAAAACGCAGCGTATGTGAAATAGATAGGGTTTTAGAAACTGGGACGGTTGGGCTTCCACGAAGAATTCGAGTCCTCTTCACTCTCGACGGCGAACCACGGTACCCTCTCCGTTTTTGATCGGAACGCTGCTGCGATTCAAGTTCCAACCACCTCTGTTTCATTTTTTTCGATGCCTCCCTCCATCTTCGTTTATGCTTCATCCATCATCGTCACGGATTTCATCCTTTTCGTCTGTTCGTTGTGGATCTCTTTCCACTTTGATTTAGGATCGTTCCTCTTCGTCCATCCATTATGGATTTCTCTTCTGCGATTTCAAGGAAGACGCGGATTGCCGTTGCTCCGTTTGTGTTTGTGTCCCGACTTGCGAAGCGAAATACGAAGAGGATAACTATATTGTTACTTCTATTTGCAGATTGGATGAATCAAAGAATATGTTCATTGAAAACTCAACGAAGATGATGATAATGTTGTTGAAGGTTCTTGCGATTGAAGCTCAAAGTGTTAAAGAAGCAGAGCGTTCTCTTTGAACCTTCTAGTGAGTTTTTTTAGTTTCTTGTTCTCTTTTGTTTGCTTTCTTCGATTCTTCTTCTACCTTTCTTCTTTTTCGTTTTCTTCAACTGTGCGGACGTGTTATTGTTGTAGTTGTTTTGTTCTTCACGATGCTGATGTGAAAGTTGCAGTGATGGTTAATGATGAAATGTTATGTGTTCAGTGATGGTTGATGAAGATGACAATGCAATGATGCTTTAAGAATCAACTTAGGGAGAGTGAGGGTTGTGATGAAGGTGCAGTTGTGGAGTATGGTGAATGGTGCGTGAGAGCTGCAGAGAGAGAGATTTTCTTGTGTGTTTCTTCTGCAGAAATTGAAGAATGGTCAAGATGAAGATGAGATTAGAAGAGAGAGGTTGATGGTGATTCTTCAGAGAATTGAAGAATGATGCAATCTTAGGTAAAATTTGGTTTTATACTCTGTTAGAAATCAGAAAGTTTGTTAGATCCAAATGAATCTAAGCCCTTGATTTCAATAGTTAGTTAGAAGAATATATGGTAGAGATTGAATCTAAATGAAAGCTTTTAATATGTTATGTTTCAAAATATTTTCTGATTTAATAATTCCTTCTTTATTTTCCTGATGCAAAAACTTTCTTCAGCCTTTTCTGTTATGCTGCACGGTTCAGTTCAATTAGAAATAAGTGTAAAAAAAACTGTGAAGAACTGTTAGGAACTTTGCTGAAAGTTTGTTGGAAGCTTGTTACAAACTGGTTAGGATTTTATAAGAAGTATCAATTGAAAATCGATAACTGAACTACTTCTGGACTAGTTTTCTACAGGTACTGATTTATGATTGAATCATTTTTTCTCTATTTGATGCAGGGTTGCGCTCTTGGTCATCGCTTCGGACCTGTTTGATATTGGTGCAAGTTTTGAGTATGTTGTTGGAACCGGGCAGCAAGTTTGTGATGGCGCGATTGAGATACAAGAGGAAGTCTTGAAATGGTTTTGAAGATTAGACTTAGGACTGAATTTCCATGTAAAATAATTTTGTGAACATCTTTTCTTGTAATGAACTTTTGAGATCAAAACTTCATATATCTCAAGTAATTTTCTTTCCAAAATACACATCCTTTCTTTTGACCTTGAATCTTGTATAAAAAACATAGATGGAACTTTGAAGGAATCATGAATGGACTTCTTACATCTTAATAACCTTATTGCAATATTTGGATATTATTGATGGAACTTGAATCTTGAATGAAGCTTGAATGGATATTGGAAAATAGAAATGAATCCTGAGAGAAACTTGAATTAACTCTCGTAAATTTCTCTTGTGAATCCAAAAAAAAATCTCTTAACATTTGTGTATTCCAAACAAATAAGTATATTGAATGAAATAGAACATGAAATTTGAGAATTTTTTTTATTAATAACCAAGTATTAAAAAAATATTTCGCAAATAACCGGGTTTCGGAAAAAATTACGCAAATAACCATGTTTGAGATGGCTCCATAAAGGAGGAGCCATCTCATTTGGCGCATCCTCCTATTTTTATAAGGGAGGCGCCATCTCATTTGGCGCCTAAGGGCAAATGGCAAGCCCTAAGCCAAATGAGATGGCGCCTATGTGGAAAAGTAGGTCAAAAAAAAATTTTTTTTTTCCTTTCCTGCGCGTTGCGTATTAGACAGAGATAACCAAAATTGATTTTTTATTTGAAAAAAAATAATTACATTCAACTGTTTTACATTTAAATAACAGTAAAAAAATAGATACAAAAAATACTGAAAAAAAAAAGATACATCAATGATCCCCAGGAACCCGGTAATGACCCCCAGTTCCGCATCCCCGTCCTCGCCTTTCTCTTGCTGGGTGCCGTCTCGTTTCCTGTTGCGGCAAGGTCGATGGCCCAGCGAAGTCAATGCGATCCGAATCCATAAAATCAGTAAGATCTCCGTATCTCGAAGATCCGCTCTGGTACAGTCGGTTACCCATGCCCTCGAAGTTTGGTCGTGTTAGCGGTGGGTGGAGTTCCATGGTTGGTCGGTAGCATTGGTCGTCTGAGTATGGGGGGTAGAAAGGAAATGGATCTTGGGGTGTTTGGTACTGTGGATGTTGGGTTGTTTGGTGATATGGTGGTTGATGGTAGGTTTGGTCGGGTTGGTCGTAATCTTCTGACATTCCCATATCAGGGCTAAGGCTGGATGTTGAGGGCCCCATATTGGGATATGTGGAAGACTGAAATTGGGTATGGGGTATGTGGGTTTGCTGGTATTGGGGTTGGTATTGTGGTTGGGTTTGAGGCATATCTGGGTATTGGTAGTTTGGCGGTGACTGTGGTTGGTAGTACGGCATTTGGTTGTAGTTGTGTTGTGGTGGGGAATGTGGTTGTGTGTTTGTTGGTCTGTTTCTTCTTGGGGGTGGGTTTGAGGTTGAAGGATTTTGGGTTTGTTGGTGGGGAATCGAGGGTTGTGCCCATTGTGTGCGTGGGTCAACCAAGTACCTCGGATGAGACACGTGCATATCTGGGTTACTAACCGACCTGTACCACGACATATATTGATCGGTGTGTCGCATGTTACCTTGAGTAAGGAAAACAGGGGATTGCAAGATGTAGCGGTGACGCCTTTGCCACATTTTACACCATTCTGGAGCAAAGTCTTTCCAGTTGGTTAGATTCCACTGGGCGTCGACCCTTTTTAGATGCCAGGGGGACAAATCTGTTGGGTCACTTGGTATCTCTTGGATCATTCCGAACTGCATCTTCACGCGGTCGCTGTGGTGCATCTCCACAATGTTGAACCGAATGAGTGCAGTCTTTGCAGTCCAAGTTGCTGCATCCTCTGGATTTGGAGAATGGTCCAAACCCAAATATGGTCTCCAGACGAACTGCGATAAAATTTAAATCAGGTAAGCGCAAAAGTAATGTATAAATAAATAAAATGAACAAAAGTTAAAAGCTACAACTTACGTCATCTGGGCCTAGGTGATCCAACAGATTCCGGTAGAGTGCGACATTGAATCTGGGATTCTTGCCGTAATCCATACCCCTCACGCAGTACCTATAGGAAATGAGAAACATGTTATTTTTAGCATATATTTTGGAAAGAGAAGAATAGTTATAAATGCTATAACTTAATGACTTACTTTGTTGCGTAAGGGAAACCAAAAGTGTTGTTGTTGATGGGGTTTAAGGACTCCATCCTCCACCAACCCCAGGCTTGTAGTAAAAATGCGCACCCATAAAATGTACATTTTTCCTTGACTGCGTTTTTGCACAAGGAACTGTACAGGTGGGCTAATACTGCAGAACCCCAACTAAATTTTCTAGTTTTATCAAAATTGGTTAGTAAATGTAAGTACATGAAATTTACACTATTTCCCGTACTTTCGGGAAATAAAAAAGTACCAAAAAGTATCATTATATACGTCCGGGCTTTTACTACTCGGTCATTTTCTGAGGAATTTTCATTTAATTCCATACTTGCATAATGCCGTTTCAGGTCAGTGAGTAGTATTCCCTGCCCTCTTGCTCCACCCCCTTCTACCATGTCCCTACCCAACAGTTCTTCACACTGTGAGTTGGGTTGTTGAACCGACCCGTTCACCGCTTTACCGTCAATAGGGAGGCCCAGTAGCATGTAGACATCTTCGAGAGTGATGGTACATTCACCTATTGGTAGGTGAAATGTATGGGTCTCCGGTCTCCACCTCTCCAACATTGCAAGGATGAATTTGGAGTCAATGGTGCAGTTGGAGATCTTTATCACGTGTCCAAAACCTGCATATTCCAGATAAGGGACGATAAAAGGGTCGGGGGCCAGGTATTTGTGCGAACGGATTCTGAATCTTTGTGTATCCTGAGATCATAATTAAACAAGAGTAAGATTAATTAAGATGAACAACACGTTTTTTAAAGTATGAAAAATGTATAACCAAAGAAGAGACTTACAAATGCAGCAATGTTTTCCCTTGTGCCTCTGTGAGTATCTCCCATTGTTAGAAGGGCCATTCTTCAGAACGCTTGAGTGAATGAAAGACTTAGGAAGAAATAAGGAGTATGATAGACTTAAGAAATATTTCGTAGCAGAGAGTGAGAGAGTGAGAGTTGTGTGGGTGTGAGATATGTTTCATAAGGTATGTATTTATAGGCAACTAATTCTGATGTAGTGGTTGCATGCATGCGAGGTGTCACATTTGCATGCTTAGGGAGTTACACATATGCATGCATGCATTTACAAATAATGTAAGGTGTCTTTCTCTGTTGCATGCATGCCTATTGGAGCTGACGGGTGGCAGGCTTAGACAAAACTTTTATGTGTGTATTATAGGGCCAGGCTAGGTGGCAGCATAAGCCCATGCATGTAATACGATTGGACAGTAAGGGAGGCGCCATCTCACTTGGCGAAATAGTACAAAAATGAATGTTGTCGCCACCCCATTTGGCGAATAAGAGGTGTCACGTTTTACAGCATTGTCTCAGGCTAGGTGGCAGCCTTTGGGATGCCTTTCTCTGTTGCATGCATGCCTATTGGAGCTGACGGGTGGCAGGCTTAGACAAAACTTTTATGTGTGTATTATAGGGCCAGGCTAGGTGGCAGCATAAGCCCATGCATGTAATACGATTGGACAGTAAGGGAGGCGCCATCTCACTTGGCGAAATAGTACAAAAATGAATGTTGTCGCCACCCCATTTGGCGAATAAGAGGTGTCACGTTTTACAGCATTGTCTCAGGCTAGGTGGCAGCCTTTGGGATGCCTTTCTCTGTTGCATGCATGCCTATTGGAGCTGACGGGTGGCAGGCTTAGACAAAACTTTTATGTGTGTATTATAGGGCCAGGCTAGGTGGCAGCATAAGCCCATGCATGTAATACGATTGGACAGTAAGGGAGGCG